ACGGCACTTAACAACAACAACAACTTCTGAATCCAGCTTGCATTTCTGGAAGTTCTCTGTCAATATACTGCTGTAACCATTTTTTAATTATCTTCAGAAAGATTTTACTTGCATGTGATATTAATGACAATGTTCAATAATTTCCACATTCTGTGGGATCAGCTTTCTTTGGAATGGGTACGAATATGGATCTTTTCCAGTCAGTTGGCCAGATAGTTGTCTTCCAGATCTCTTGGCATAGCCAAGTGAATGCCCCTAGTGCAGCTTCCGTTTGTTGAAACATCTCAATGGGTATCCCGTCAATTCTTGAAGCCTACTTATAGTGCACTGGACAAATCTGCTGCAAAGGTCTCTTTAAAGTTTTAAAAAGCAAAGATGTCACTTTGATAAGTAAGGTGCATTGGACCTAAGCAATGGTCTATGCAATTGCATTATATACAAGCAAAAGTTGGATAATGCAAAAGGAAGCAGCAGAATTGATGTCTTTGAACTATGGTGTTGGCAAAGAATATTCAATATACTTTGGACTGCCAAAAGAATGAACAAACCAGTCTTTACAAACAAAATGTTCCTTAGAAGTGAGGATGGTGAAACTTCAACTGGCTTACTTTGGTCATGTTATTAAGAAAGACCAATTGCTAGAAAAGGACATCATGTTTGGTAAAGTTGAGGGGTGACAAAAACAAGGGATACCCTCAATGAGATGGATTGATACAATAGCTGCAAAAAAATGGACTCAAACATACCAGCAATCATGAAGGTGGCATAGGCCAGACAGCCTTCTTTCTATTGTACATAATGTCTTCATGAGTCAGAGTTGACTCAGTGACAACTAACAAAACAATTATACATGGTGGGATAACATTAATTGCAGTACTATATTGTACTTTTCCTCTTCCTGATAGTATTTCCCATCTTCTTCCTTTTCTTTAAGCAAAAAGTCTGTACCTGTTCATAGTCTTAGAAGAAGAATGTGATGAAGTAGAAAGCAGAAATAGCCAGGTAATCTCTGGCTTTTGTTTTTTCAAAGGCCTCTGTTGATATGGCTTAAGATAGCAAACCAGGTATATACACATGCTAGCCACTTGTCCCTCTCAAGACTTCAGGGAAATAAGAACTGAGGTCTTGGTTTCTTTGTTAGCTGTTAGCTGGGGGCTTCCCTTACCTCCTAGAGGTTTCTCTTCAGTCTTTGCACACAGCCCCCTTCATCTCACTGTTGAATCTTTCTCACAGTGCCATCTTTCTGACTACTCTTCTGTCAGCCCATCTCTCAGAGACCATAGCTAGGAAAGGGTCCACTTTTAAAGACTCAAGTGATTAGATTGGGTACTCCTAGATAATCCAGGATAATCTGGATAATATATTCAAAGGTTCTGGGAATTAGGATATGGGCACATTTGGGGACCATTGTTCTGCCTACAAGTTCGGTACTCCAATGAACTAATTAGACAAAGGTGGCTTTAGATGATAAACTAAAATAGCCTGAGTTTCATACTTAAGAGAATTTGAATCTCCAATTTTCCCTCATCAATAGTTATGTCAACAGAACAAGAATTCCTTTTCCTCCAAGACTCTGCACTCATAGGAACATGGGGATGGGTTGAGGGGGGTATTTTAGAATTGAATTTATAATTAGTATTAGTTGAGGTGCCAGAGGAAACAGACGACACATTGGAATTGGGTTATTTGGGGAGAGTCTGATAAAGGGAAGTTTATGAAGATGTGGGCAAAGTTTAGAATCCTAGGGCTAGTAACAATGGGGACTTGTTACCACCTTTACCTGAAAAGGCAAGAGAAGTAAGTAATTGCCAGAACCTGGACAGGATGGCTGCATGGAGAGGGCCATGTGGCAGGAGCTGTGGCTTTTAGTAAAGGAACACAGCTAACCCACAACCTGACAGGGAGGGAGGCAGAAGCATAAATACACCACCTTCACTCTCCTTCTGCCTTCTAGTTGCCTACACGTGCCTCTCATTGGACAAACTCAAGCATTACCTAGAAGGCCAAGGGCTCATTGATGCCATCAACTTTTTGAGGCACAGAGCAGGCAAGAGTGCTATGCAGAGACTGCAGAAAAGGAAGGGGGAAAGGGAAGCTGAGGTATAGAAAGTGACCCTAGTCGACCCTCAGACATTTTTAATACCAAAACTTCACTGTAGTGTCTTTCACTTAGGATAAACCCCTGGCTAAGCCCTTGGACAGATAGTTTAGGCATGACTCTACCCAGACCCGGTTGCTGAGTGGTCCTTCTTCTTTCCCTTTCCTCCTTCTGGGGAGATAGTCTTCTTCACCTCCTTTCAAGTTCAAAAGTTAAATGGGTTTTGATGTCTGTGGCCTTGTTCTTGGAGTCATGGTTCTAAAACTTCTCTCTGCTAAAGCAACTCTTCTTGCAGACTGCTGTAGGCAATGATCTTGACCTCTACGGTAATGTCATCTCCCTTAGACTTGGACAAGGTGCTTTTTAAGCCTGGGGAGGACATTGGCCTCCCAGCTGAATCCTTCCTGGACCATGTGTGCTTCAGCCCCACTCCTATGTGAATGGTTAGACCAGGTGTTCCGACCCCTATCCCTATCCCCTTCATATCCCGTAATCCACCTGAGTCTTGAGGGCACATGGAGCCCACCTGGAAACAGCGTCCACTACTGGGTATTCTTCATCTCTGCTGCCTGGCCACCCCACCAGAGAGCTCCACAATTCCCCCCTAGTTGGCCAAGGGTTCATCATGCTGTGGGAAGGAAGCAGGAACCTGGTCATATGGAAAGAAAGGAGGAAGTGGGTAGGACAAGGGAGAGGCATGGGGCGGGGGGCACAAGCTAAGGGAATAGGAGACAACCAAAGCCGTGCCACCAAACAAGGGAACACCATGACTTTTTCAGTCATTTATCCTTCTTGAAAGGAAGATACCATTCCCTTTGCTCTCATCATATGGAAACACTAAATTTAAGTGTAAAGAAGCAAAGCAAATATTCAGCAAGAATTCATCACATTGTAGCTAGGGAGCCTTTTTATGATTGGTGTGATATAATTATGTCCTCCCAAAATAGCAGCCCCTCATCTACCCATATGATACTGTGAAGGCTGCCAGTTACTGTATGCTCCCCATCCTGGGTATAATTCGGGTGAATCAAAAGGGATTTTTTTCTTTGATTTTTCAAATTGGAACAGGAAGGAAATATTCTTTTCCTTTCCAGTTACTAAGTGTTATGAGTTGGCTGATGTCCTTTAAAAAGGTATGTTCAAGCCCTTAATGTCTGGTACCTGTGAATGTGGTCTTATTTGGAAATAGCATCTTTACAGATGTACTTATGTTAACATGGGGTCATACAGGAAGGTGGCCCTAATCCAAGATGACTGGTGTCCTCATAAGAAGAGGAGAAGAGACACAGTGACAGAAAGACATATGGAAGGAAGATGTCATGTAACCATAGAGGCAGAGATTGACGTGATAAAACTACAATCCAAGGAATAACTAGGGTTACCAGAAGCTGGGAGAGACCAAAGAGGGTCTTCCCCTAGAACTTTCAGACGGAGCATGGCCCTACTAACACCCTGAATTAGGACTTCCAGCCTCCAGATATGAGAGAATAAATTTCTGTTGTTTTAAGCCACCTGGTTTGTGGTACATTGTTATCATGGCCCTAGGAAACTAATACACTAAAGATGTGGCTTGCCCTGTGGAGAAGGCCCATCATTAGCTGGAGAAGACAAAGGCAATGTGCAGAGAGAAGTGAAGATGAGAACTGGGGAGAGAAAGAGCATGAGACAGTCCTGATAGGATCAAATCCCTGGATCTGGTCACCCTAGAAACCAGCTTAACTTTTCCTTTTTCTTCATTTTGGTCACATAAGTCTATCAGTTCCTCCTTTTGCCTAAGAGTTTGTCATAGATCATATCACTCACCATGAAGGGTCTTGAGTTGAAGTCATAGAAAATATGTCCCCAGTTAGTCCTGTTAGCTAACTAAATAAAGTTTTAAAATATTAGCAAGACAATAACATCTTGTTTGACTTTGATTTTGACTCATTTGACTTTGTCTGTAAGATCTAAATCTAGAAACATAGTAAGAGATTTTAAAAATAAGATCAATCTAGTATGTTTAACACCAAGTAGCAAAACTATAGAAATTGTTACCCTAGTGTAACACTGTCCAGCTTTGTCTACCTGTTGTGGGCCAGGCTCAACAAAGTATGTAGTGATGGTATTGATGCTGGGTAAGACGCCATACAGCCAGCCAGTGCCAGTGATGATAACATCCAAGATGTGCTCCCGGCTGTGTACATAGTGGTAGGCAGTGCTAAAGACATTGGCAACACCCTGCAGAGAGATAAATACAAATTGGCTTTCCTTTTTAAAATAATACAGTAACTTGTAATGCATCAATTGGGTTATTTTTCTGCTACTGTAAAAATAAATAACACAATATATTCCAATTTAACATTTTTGTGTATACAATTCAGTAAGACCAATTACATCAATCATATGGAACCATCACTAATATCCCTTGTCAAATTTTCCACCACCATAAACAGAAACTTACTGCTTCCTGATTTCTCCTTTTCCCCCTTCTTCCTATCCCTTGCAATCACTATTAAACTCTGATCTCTATACATTTGCCTATTCTAGGCATTTCATATCAGTGAGATTATACACTATTTGCCTTTGTGATTGACTTATTTCACTCAGCATAATGTTTTCAGTGTTCACTCACGTTGTGGCATGTAACCAGACTTAAATTTCTCTTTACGGCAGAGTAATATTCCATTGTTTGTATATACCACAATTTTTTTAATCCATTCATCCATTAATCCATTCAAATGTTGATGGGCATTTCAGTTGTTTCTCCCTTGTGAATAGTGCTGCAATGAACACTGGTGTACATGTCTGTTTGCATTGCTACTTTTAAGTCTCTTTGGTATATACCTGAGAGTAGAATTGTTGGCTCATATGGTAGCTTTATGTTTAACTTTCTGAGTAAGTGCCAAAATGTTTTCCACACCAGCTGTATCATTTTGCAATCCCAACAGCAGTAGATGAGATTCCTATTTCTCCATATCTTCAGCAACGTGTTATTTTCTGGTTTCTTTTTTTCAATCTTAACTATTCTGAAAAACTCCTTCCCATTGAGTCGATTCCAACTCATAGTGAACCTATAGGACAGAGTAGACCTGCCCCATAGGATTTACGAGAGCAGAATGCCACATCTTCCCCCACCTTTCCTGTGGGGGTGAAGTGGTATCTCATTGTGGTTTTAATTTGCATCTCCCTAATGGCTAATGACAATGAGCATTTTTTCTTGTGTTTGTGGGTTATTTGAATATTCTCTTTGGTAAAATATTTATTCAGATCCTTTACTCATTTTTTGATTGGATTGTCTTTTTGTCATTGAGTTGTAACAGTTCTTTATATATTCTGGATATCAGACCTTTACCCAATATATGGTTCCCCAAATTTTTCTCCTGGTCTGTAGGATGTCACTTCACTTTGTTGATAAAGTCCTTTTGAATGATACTCTATTTATCTATTTTGTTTTTTCTTGCTTATGCTTTCAGTGGCATATCTAAGAACCCATCATTAATTAGTGATGATCTACTTCCTACAAATTACTACTCATCAGTTCTCAAAAGTCAGTGTTCTAGATTCTGCTATGAAAAAAGGATCACCAAGAAATCAAAAGTGTAAGAAGAGTTTAACGGTAAGATCCACATAATTTGTTATGCTTCCTGATGATCACCAGTTAAATTTGTGATGTTTGCTACCAGAGAATAGTGTCACTATTTGAAATAGGAGCTCTGGTAGTATAGTGCCTAAGGCACTTGACTACTAACCAGAAGGCTGGAGGTTCGAACCTACCAGCCACTCCTCGGAAAGAAGGCAATCTACTTCCATAGTGATACTGCCTCGGAAACCCAAGGAGGGGTTGCTATGAGTCAGGTCCAACTCGACAGCACATAACAACTACAACAACGTTCTTTGAAACGGAGAAAAAAAGCCTTTAAAAGTCAAGAACTAATGTCAGCCTTGGGAAAATAGGTAGGAGCTGCCCTTATCTGATTCCAATATTAATGTCTGTATCTTTATATGGCTACTATCATCAGAACATCAGTATAGGATGTGCTTGGTCCTTGGATAGGCATAAAGAGACCCTGTTCCACAGGAAATGCTTAGAACTCCTGTGATATTATGTCAAGAAACTCAAGGAACCATAAATTCTTTAAAATCATCAGCATTTTACATAAGGACTCAAGGTATCACAGGAGCCTTTACCTCTAAGGAACAGTGAATCAATTTATAATTTATTCTGACATGCTTTCTAACAAGACTATATATAGTCCACCTACTAATAACTATATTATCTTCATTTTGCTTAATATCTTTACATCATTCACATGAGAATGAACCTTATTATTAAAAAGATGTCTGGAGAAGGAGATTCTGCTACTTTCCTCAATGTATATAACCAATAAGTAGGAAGAGACAATGGAAAATAATAGTAAATAAATACAGAGTCAGAGGCTTATAGGGGAGCAAATGACAAGTGCATAGCAAGTTTGTGACTTGCTGCTAAATCCACAATCCACTGCCTCTATAATGGCTCTCAATCTTTCTGCTTTGCAATTTTTATTCATAAAACTAAATTAAAATGTTTGTGGAAATGTTCCAGCTATTTTGTATTCTTAACAGGGCCTATTCTTTTTGTGATCTAATTTGAAATTATGGACACTCAAGAAACGTTTATTTTCTTAATTCTTTGTCCTCAAAAATTATAACATTGAAATCAAGAGCTATGAAAATGCACATCATATTTAGCAATATTTGTAGAAAGAGCAAAGAATTTCTAGTTATCACTACTGATAAAGCATAAATATGTCCCTTCTAAAAGGGCATTTCTACTCTGTGGATCTTAGTGGTCTAACAATAGTTGGATTTCTGTTCTGCAGCATAAGATACTGCTCCTGTGATTAATACTATCGGACAATATTAACAACCTTCCTTGAGGAGCTGAGGCATGGATGTGCAACTGAGGCTCAGAATCCTTCTCTGAGTAACGAGAAGCCTCTCCAAAGACTGGTGCATACACTCAGGGGACAGGAACAAGCAGGATGACACTGTCTATATTTACACAGATTTATTCTCTTTTGGTTTCAGGTGTCACTTTTTTAAAAGCTTAAAAGGAGAAACTATTCTAACCATTGACCTTGAGTAATTCCTTCTATGACTTACCTGGTAGAATCTGATCTCATGAGGCAGGAAGATGTTTATTTCCTGGGGATCTCTTAGGGTGTCGACAGCAATAACCCCAAAGATCCTCATATATGCATCCTGAAGTGGCAGAGCCAAGAATGACCCATTACGATCATTCCTACGGCGGGAACGGTTCCAGAAGAAGATGTTCCCGTGGTGCTGAACTTGGGGGACATGGATTGGCTTCCCTTCATCCACTACTGTAAAGCTGAGGAATAGAAATACCAGGATGAGGAAAAGTCAGAGGGGGGAGGTTTAGATTAAACCATGCAGGAAACTTGATCAAGTCTCCATTCACAATCACCGGCATTAAATATTAGAGAAGTGGACTCAGATAAGAAGCTCTGGTGACATAGTGCCTAAGATCGCTAACCAGAAGGCTGGTGGCTCAAACCTACCAGCCACTCCTTGGAAGGAAGGTTGGGCAATCTATTTCCGTAGTGATACCGCTTCGGAAACCCAAGGAGGGGTTGCTATGAGTCGGATCTGACTTGACGGCAGTGAGTTTGGTTTTTTGTTTTTTTTTTTTGACTCAGATAAAATGACCATTTTGGAGACTCTGACTTGTAAGAAAGATTTTAAGAACCAAGTTTAGATCTTAACAGAGAAAATCCGGAGACATAATTTACAGAGTAGGCAGAAGTAATTGAACTGATATTGTGAAGCAGAGTCCCTACATGGGCAAATCATCACATAAAAGAGAGCCCTAGAAATGATCAGGTGAAACCATCAGGACTAGAAGTGGATCAGCTCCCATTCCAGAAGCACTGGTGGTTTGAGACGTTATCTCTTGAGCAGCTAACTTAGGATTTCAATGTTAGTTTACTTGAGAAAGAGAATTATTATCTTAAAGGGGTGAATCCAACTTCTTTAAGTTCTTACCTAATTCCTTTCATGTCCCTGTATAGAACTCTGTTCAATACAAATGGAGCATCGTCTAAGGTACAAGCCACATTCCTCAACAGAACATTCCCTCTATCAGGCAGTAGTACATTTTCTTCTAAGAGAGAAATATGGGCACTGATCCTTTTATTTCCATGGGCTTCAGCATCCTATGGCAAAATGTTTCTGATCATTTATTAGCCAACAGCCAAAGAGCTACTCCTCTAATCATGTCTCCTTCATTAGCCAGTTTCTGCATCTGGTCCTAATAACTTCATTTTCCTGAATAAATGATGCAGATATTATCATTCATGGGCAGTGGGAAGAAGGCTCACACCACAGATGTCCCCTAAACCTGAGTTTTAGTGAGTAGAATTAATTTGTGCTACGCCAATAGACAAGTTTACTATTTTAAAAATAGTAAAATACATTTAGAAGATATAAATATAAATATCAAATCTACCCAAATTTAGAGACTTACAACTTGGATCCTTTGACCTACAGTCATAATGTCTGAACTTCAGTTAAAATTTATTTATTTTAGAGAGCTTGAGCAAGAAGCTGCCTTCATTTTACTTATTTTTCTTGACTATCTATTGTGATGTGAATGTGGAAAAAAAAATTATCTCAAAGAATTATGAAATTCAACCTATGTCATTACATGAAAGGTTTTTTTGGGATCTCAGATTGCTTTACTAAGCTATTTCTTATTAAAATAACTGAAAATTCTGTATCTAAAATATTATGTTATTGACAATATTGTAATGTCAATACACATATTGAACATGTCCATAAATCGGGGACATGAGAAACACTTTCCTTGATATATATTCTTTGAGTTTGTTTTTTATGTATTTTTTTTCTTTTGCTTTCCTCTTTTTCCACATAAAAGATCTATGGAGTTATTAACAACATGTATTAAAGCTTCTCTTAGGATACCACAGATTTCTGATGCAAGTTGGATTAACATCTCTTTTTCATGATTGGTTTCCTTTTACTGGTCACACCATTTCTAACCACATTGGAAAATTCAGCCAGCCATTCAGGAGATGATTCAATAAGCAAGTGTCATTATTAAACTGATAAATGGCACAGAATCCCTGGATCAATGGAATCTGTGATATGTGTAAATGACAACCATGCTGTTTCTGGCTGGGAGGAGCAGCAAGATGAGTGTCTCTGAAGGGTAACCCATCTGGGCCACGTATTTAAGTGACAAGATTCTGTAACAATTTCCATTTGCTTCTAGGCAATTCAGTGAAATATTGTATGATACTGGATTATACTTTGAAATGCCTTTAGATTTAAATACACTTCATTTTCAACCTAACTCCCCAAATGCCATGTAAGGTAAATGTACTTTAAACTGCTTGCACATCTTCCTGGTATTTTTCAATACCAGTCTATCATCTGCTCTAGGTTTATTTGACTCTCAGCACAGATGAAATTAGAAGTCCCAAGACAGAATTTGGTTTTTCCTACTTTTTCTCTTCTGCTTCTACCCTGTCCACCTGCAATCATTCCAGTTGTATTTCTCTTAGGCTTTGGGTCATTGTAGTGCACTAGAATGAAGACAACATCTACAGCAGCAACTTTTCAGGAAAATGTAGTGTTTTCCACCTTTGCAACCACTGAACATTACACACTGTGAGGAAATATTTCCTTTTATAGATCATTTTAGAAATCACACCTGGGTGAGGGCCTTAAAGGTCTCAGTGTACACTGGCTCCACTGATACTCCACTAGTCTCTGCAGCACGTTGGATTCGGTGCAGCCACTTCTGCCTGGCGGAATTCCTCAGACTCTCAATATGGCTCGTCTGTAAAGCACTCATCAGGAACTCCACAACACTTTCCAGAACCTGGTCTTCATTGCCCCTGAGTTCAGATACAACCAATTCTATATATTTCTGAAACTGTTTTGAAGATAATTTCACTTCGTTACCAGGGTGTGGCTTTGGAAACTGGATGTGTAGTTTAGCTAAAAGACATAAACACAAAACCAAGAATTAACAAAAAGTTTGTTTATACATGGGGAACATTTTCATTCTCCTTTTACAGCAAACTGAAGCTCCTTACAACCACTGCCGTAGAGAAACAGGTATATCAAAAGCATCTTTGAGTCGTCTTTACTGTGGTGCCCTATGCTGAACTCAACATGACTCCTATGTCATTACCCTTGCTTTTTTTTTTTTTTTTTAATTCTTCTACTTCCCCAGGGGGAGCTCAGGTAGCATAGTGGCTAAGGCACTTGACTGCTAACTAGAAGGCTGTTGGTTCAAACCCACCAGCCACTCCTAGGAAGGAAGGTTGGGCAATCTACTTCTGTAGTGATACTGCCTCAGAAACCCAAGGAGGGGTTGCTATGAGTTGGGTCCAACTGGAAGGCACACATGACAACAACAACAACTTCCCCAGGTGAAACCTCAAGGTCAACTTTGACTCCTCCCCACTTTTTGCTTTCCATATCTATTAGACCACTGAATCCAATCTGTTATTCTTTGGCAATTAATCTTGTGGCCACACTTCTCCATTCCTGATTTCATAACCCCAAACCAGCTTTTATCACTTTATACTCAGGTTACCAATAATAATTCTCAAGATATGTAAAATTAAACTAGTGGGGTAAAGATTTAACTTTATTCAAAGTAATTTATTCTTTGTCCTTGGTTCCTGAGTGACAGTTCTAAACTGTTGGAATTTCCTGAGTAATTGAGGTGTCTTTGGTCTCTACAGGTCTCCAGACCAGAGCTGATAGGTTATGATGGTGATGTAGCTCTTGGGTGAAGGCTTGCCAGGCCACAGGGACCCACTTCATGCTATAACCTCATAATGAACCACCTCATGATGATATGGCAAAAATCTTCAATAAAAACCTTAGACACTGAATCTCAATGGAAAGACATCAACTGCATGTGGGGTGTGGGGGAGCAATGAATCCCTTTTTGGGACATGGAAGCTTGTGTTGGAGACCCTCCCAGACATGCATCTTTTCATATGTACCTTTTTCCTATAATAAAACTATGATGATAATTACAGGACTTTCCACGAGTTCTCTTGAGTCATTCTAGCAATTTATCAAACCCAAAGGAGTGGTGGTAGTTAGTAGGTCAGAAGTGAGGGAACTTGGGGGAGGAGAGTCTGATAAGGGAGGAGGGGTTGTGGAAAACACAGGAACCATCTTGAAAGAACTCCCAGTGGTCAAATTTGGGACAATTTAATCATCAAAATAAATAATGATAGAGACTGGTGGAACACCCGAGACTATGGTGCTGGGTTACCTTCAGGCCTGGAAGTGGACTCACTTCCATGGATTAGCTCTCAGACAAATGGTAGAAAGATCTACAAGCAGAACACCTACCCCAGGGAGATGCACCCCCTAGAACAATCAACCACAAGACATCAAAAGGGCAGCATTTGCATAGAGAGAAAGCTGGATAGACGGGAATGCACAGATAAGCAGGGCACAGGGAAGGGATAGTCACAGGGAGGAAATGGGAGGAGAGCTTTTATGGTTGGGGATTGTAATCAGGCTGTGAAACTAAATGTGCATGAAATGTTGAGAAGCAAACTAATCTGCTTTGTAAATTTGCACCAAAATCACAATAAAAAAATTGAAATTTAAAAAAGAGAAATAAAATATTGCAGCTCCAGTGCCCTTTCACCCTTCCCTGATTGATTGCATTTGTCTTCTATCCCAACAAAAATAATCACATCTTGTGTCCTCGGAAGGAAGGTTGGGCAATCTACTTCCATAGTGATACTGCCTTGGAAACCCAAGGAGGGGTCACTATGAGTCAGGTCCAATTCAACGCCAAATAACAACAACAACATGCATGTCATTATAATACTATTTACATATTCCTCAAAAACATACTATGGTATGTTTTACAGTATTTTATGTATCCTTCCATAGCTTTCTTTTTCTCATGTTTTAGAAATTTGTGCATTATTTTTTAAGTCATCATTAAATAGTTATTTTACAATAAAATAAATAAATAAATAAATAAATACTGATAGTAATGAAATACAACCCATTGAATAAAATAGCAAACCATGAGTCCATACTGATATAATAAATGAATAAATGAAAAGTTTGACAAGGAAGGGAATATTCATACAATTTCAAAGTACACCCACAAAATATGTATTGATAACAAAAGAAAAGAGAGTAACTTTAAAGAGGAGGGACCTGTCAGGTATCATCTTACAGCTGGTTAAGGTTAACATCTGTGTTAGGCTGGGTTGTCTAGAGAAATAAAACCAGTAAAGCTTATATACATAAATATATATATAGAGAGAGAAATTTATCTTAGGAAAATGACTCACACAGTCAAGTTGTGGTTGTTGTTAGGTGCTGCCAAGTCACCTCTGACTCATGGCGACCCTATGTATAGCAGAACACTGCCTGGTCCTGTGCTAGCTCCACGATCCTTGATATACCTGAGCCCATCATTGTAGCCACTGTGTCAATCCATCTTGTTGAGGGCCTTTCCCTTTTTTATTGACTTTACAAGCATGATACACACAGTTACAGAAGCAGACAAGTCCCAAGTTCCTGGATCAAACATCATACTGGAGCCTTTTCCCAAGTTACGCAGCTGCAGGAGCTGAGGAGCTCAGGGTTGGCAAGCAGTGTACTGGCTGTTGGCTTCAGTGGATGATAGATCCAAGATCACCAGGAAGAATGGTGGATTGTTTGCTCACAGACAGTTGTAGGCAGCACAACAGGATCCAGAGCTCCAGAAGCTTCTCTCTAGAACCAGGATCTCCATATATATATTGGAAGCAGGCCACACCTTTAGGGAAACTCCCTTTCAACAGATTGGCTGCTCAAAGCATATACATCCAATCTCATCATGGGAATAACCATGTCACAAATGCTTAAACCACTCACAGTTATGGTCCAGCCAAACAGACACACAGCCCCAACTATCACATCATCATCACAGGACTTCTGATAGGAATCAATGAGAAAACAGTATCACTTAATGTGATAACCTGAATATAATCATGAGGAAACAATCCTAAAGGAAGGACATACTACAAAAAACTGACCTGTTATATTCAGAAGTGTCATTTAATGAAGATTTCCATGAAAATCAAGGAAAGATTGGGGAGTTCCTCAGTGATTCTTTGTTCCAGAGTTCCAAAGTGAAGGAACAGTCATACACTACTACTTGTCCAGTTTTAGTTTCTTTTAAAAACAGTTTTCAAATGAAACTTTCTAAATAAATGTGGGTCTTATTGTTCAAGATTTCTGGAATTTTGTAATAGAATGCATCACCAAAATGTTATTATTTTTATGAGAGTTAAATACTTACTTAAATAGAAATGTATATATTAGACCAAATCTTGTCATTTAATTAAAAAATAAATTAAAGGGCACAGCCAGCAAGTTAATAGTTATTCCATAGGAAGTAATGGGGGGAGGATGATTTATTCTGTTAGGTTTAACAATGTAGAGCATGTCACATGTCATATAGTTTTTTATTTGTGATATTTCTGCTCAAAAAAATTGGGTTGTATTAAACAGAAATGAAAAGGGAAGTTACAGGATAAAAGGTCCAATTTTCCCCTTCCGTAGAAAACTTCCATTTTGAGGACACCAGCAGTGACATTTTTATAAGCTTCTGATCCTGTGACTTTATGCTATTTAAACTCCAGTTTTTAATCTTTGGACACAGAAAGAGATGCTAAAAAGGGTAGAGCAAAAACAACAACAAAATAGAGAACTATTTGAAGATTTGCTGATCAGTTGTTATCCAATGTTTGAATTTAGAATTTTCTTCCTTTTTAAGAGACTATATCTTCCCTTCTTCCATATTGCCATCAACTCAGCAGTCATCTCTTCAGGCCAGGTGGCTACCAATATGTGGTCAGAGAGTCATTTTGCAGAAGCCTACCATTGGAGAGAATAATTTGTTCTTCCTGCTTGCAGACATTTCCTTCTGGCAGCAGATTTTACCTCCTCATTACATTCCTCATTCTCATTTGCTTGGTTTAACCCTTTACATTTTAAGCTTTCTGCCTAGTCTTAGTGTTATGTCTCAATCAGATATATTGGAATTTCTTTATAACATCATCCTCATGTGCCTCAAAATTCTAGAATTCATCATGCCTAACTCTTTCCTTTAACAAACAAGGAGACCAGAGTCTATGGAGGTTAAAGAACTCGCCACTTGACCATTTAGTGACGTAGAGCCAGTGTTGGAACCCAGTTCTCCTGACCATTGTCAAGTGTTCTTCCCTCTGCAGAACATAGTTCTGTGTTATGAAATTTGCCACAGCTAATAAATTTGAGTCAGGGCTGACTCGACGGCACATAACAACAACAACAACAACAATAAATTTGCCACAGCTAATGAACATAATATGACAACTGATAAACTTGGGAACATCTGAAAATAAACCCATGCAATGATTTTTTAAAATACTGAAGTAACTCTTTTTCTCTGGTGTGCCAAAGTTGCCTGATAAAACCTTAAGCTCAGTGAAGAGCAAAGGCATTTGTATTGGGATCTGATCAAATGAATGGGGGACTTATTGTACAAGAATTTTAGTTGATTTTGAAAGGGAAGTATTGATCAGAAGAGAAATTTATAAGAGGAAAAAAAGTCATCATGGAGAATACAGAGTTAAGTTAGTAAATTCAGGAGAAACCTGTAAGTCAGCCAGACTTGAAGAGTGAATCAAAACCTTTTGGAGGCAAAGAGATAAAGCAGGATAAAATAGGCAGAATTATGGAGTGGTTTGGATTCTTTTAACCTCAAGAGTAAAGGTAGCTACAAATATATCCATGAATGTAAAAGTTATAAAAATGTCTCAGTCATAACCAAACACCTTCAGGGAATGAGTCACTGGGTGTGGAGGCTCAGGACCATAGTAACTTGAGTAACATAGTCCACAGAGCACCCTACTTTGGTGAGTAGTGACTGGGGTCTTAAAAGTTAATGAGCAGGAGCAAAGAAGAGTGAAGAA